AAAATGCAAAACAAAGAAATAATTGCAACTTACCTACTTTATTTTCTAAGGTTTTTCTGAAGCGAAATCAAGAATGATTTATAAAAATAAGAATTGTCTTCAAAAAGTAGATAGTGATACGATTTTATTTGAATCATTATTGAAAACAAATGAAAAAACTTACCTCCGCCTACAATCAACTCAGAAAAAAAGAAGTCTCTTTCATTAAACCTTTGAGAAGACAATATGACATATAATGCCATCTGTCATAGGTGCTCATTGCTTGGATATAGGACAAGTTCAACATTGTGGTACAGATCTGACTGACTGGCACTATATTTGGATATATAAAACAATATGATAGTGTTCTTTTTATCTTTGAATGACTCGAAACAAATGTTAATAAACTACAATCTAAAAAAAACTAAAGATTTCTTTTATCTGATACGTTTCTCCTGTTCAATGACGATATTTGATTATGCTTATGATTTTGATCTCTTCGAGAACTTTTTTCGATAGATGTTTTTTTAAAATAATATTTCTTGTTGTGTAAACTGAAATCCTAATCTAGTAGATTAAGATCAACTTTTTTATCGAGATTCAAGAGTTTTCGATTAAAATAGTTCCATTACATCCGGTAATGATATTTCGAAATTGCATCGCCACAGAGTAGGGGTGAGAATTTATTGTTATTGTTATTAATAACAATAACTATTTTGTTATTGCTATCAGTAACAATAACTTTTTTTTCTGAAAAAGATCCTGTCTCACTTCCCTGTATATATTAATTGTACCCATTAGATGGGCTTATGCTTTGGAACGATTCCCTAACGTTTATAGTGCTGATTTATGTGGTACAATCAACAGAAACTTCTCACTAAGTTTTCAAAAAAAAAAGTTAATTGTTATTTACCTGTTATTTATAACAAATAACAAAAATAGTTATTGTTATTAATAACAATAACAAAAAAAGTTATTATTATCGATAACAAATAACAAAAATAGTTATTGTTATTAATAACAATAACTTTTTTGTTATTGTTATTGTTATTAATAACAACAAGATAACAATAACTTCTCATCCCTACCACAGAATATTCCAGTGAGATATATTCACCCCTATTTCACAAGTATTGCTTACAGAAGCAATAATTACAATGTGCAACATGATATAACTATATCCTCAGAGTTGAAGAATTTGAGTTGTTATGGTCTTTTTGTCTATTTTTGTAGTAATACACAAGTATACTGAAACTCTTCACCTCTAAAGATGGATGTGAGTGTAGGTGAAATCAACTAGCATTAAGCGAAAATTAGTATTGGATATTAATGAAAATATAATACTGGAATTCAGTAATTAATTTCGAAGTGAAAACGAGGGAATGATCATCTCCTTTTGAAAAACTTTTCTCGATTTTTCACAACATAATCATGCGAAACTGAGTTCTTGTCAACATCTCAGATCCTCCATTGCTATAGTTATTCAAAGGAACTAATTACCTTCTTCTTTTCTGAAGTCTGAACTCAAAAGATTTTCTTAGAAGAAGATCTAATGAACTGAAATTTCTGTTTACCAAAACAAAAAACAAGCAGTTGCAAAAGCATTGTCGACTTATGAATTTCAATTTCTTAAGCTTGTTAGATGATATCGTCTTTTACCTTCTATCAAACATTTTCGCCAACGTGACCAGCTCTGTCGATCAAAGTACTAAAGAATCTTGCTAAATTTAACTTGTAAACAGTTTCTAGTCGAAATGATGGAAGACAAAGCTGAACACATTTTTGAAGGATGCATATCTGCGGTATCGCGTAAAATATTTCGAAAGTTCTATTGGAATTTTTTACATGGCATTACATCTTGTTTATGTAATCAAAAATTGTCTTCAAAATATCACTACGAAAAACTTTCCAGGGTGGGCTCAATTAGGCTTCACGTGGGTTTAGCCTGCTCCAGCTCACTCCCGGCGATGCCATTAGCTTCTGGGTCTATTAGTGACCGAATGACGAGCGAGTATTTTGTGTTAAGGCTTTTATACTATAAGTTGAATGTAATTATTGAATGAAGATTTATAGTTAACGATTGTATAATCAGCTATTGAATGTTTGTTTTATTTGTTAAAAACAACAATAATACCATTAGGTAACGAAAAAAAAAGAAAACAGATATAAAAAAAATAACACTGTATTTTAATTATCCATATGCATTTGCTTTATGTTTAGGTAGAAATTGAAAATCTGAAGAAACTTTTCCTAAAAGAAGTTCAGTTAATTTCACCCAATCCGAACAAAGTTTCGATGACATTAATGTTTCTAGAGAAGAAAAAACAAATTATTTAACAAAAATAAAAAAACAAACTTTTCCACTACTAACCAAGATCATTTCGTCCAAAGAAATATGGTGGTCGTTCATTTAATCTATGTGGAAGACGTTCAAGTAATCCAACAGGTATATAACGATAAAGAAATGAAATCCATTCAAGTAAAAATCGTCGAGTTTTGTCTACACCAGCTTGATCCGAACCCCAATGTTCTAAACCATAATTTGCATAACGTTTTAACATATCAAAACGTTCATTAGCTGATATATCCCATGTACGTTGTTCTTTTATTTCAGTAAATAACCATGGTTTAATTAAAGCACCACGTGCTATCATACAACCACTAACATTAGTTTCATTTAATCTTTGATAATAATCTTCAAATGAATAAATATCACCAACACCATATAATGGAATTGGATTTGATAATTTTGCACATTCATCAATATAATTCCAATCAGCACTTTTTGAATAACGCATTTCTTTTGATCGACCGTGTAAAGTAAATAAATCAATAACATGATTTTCATCATATTCAGTTTTCCATGATTTAGCTAATGAAATAATATCATGAGCATTATTTTCACCAGTCATTATTCCTGTACGTAATTTAATTGTTATTGGATGTGTTGAAAGACATGATACTGATCGACATATACGTTCAAAATCAATTGTTCGTCTTGTTAATGCACAACCAGCACCTTTTTTATAAACAAGATCAATTGGACATGCACAATTTAAATCAATAAAATCATAATCAAAATTTTCTTCAAGTAATTGAACTGTACGTGTCATTGTATCAACAAATGAACCACAAAGTTGTATACCAAATATAGTTTCACTTGGATGACGACGTAATAATGCAAATTCAGACATTTGTCCTTGAAGTAATGATGTTGTCATTGCCATTTCACCACAAGTTATTTCACAACCATATTCTTTACAAATACGACGAAATGGTAAATTACCAGCTGTAGTTAATGGTGCAAGATAAAGACGACGATTAAAATCAATTCGAATTTTTTCACGAGGTTTTAAACGAATCATATCAACATCTGTTATTATACCAAGAGTTCGAAATGGTACTGGACGAGATGATTGTCGTTGTTGTTGCTCACCATCATTTGCATCAAGTTCAGTTTGAAGATGTTCATTTTCACTTGGCTAAAATATTCAATAAAATGTCATTTTAATGTATGAAAAATAGTCAATAAGGGCGATTTCATTCGTTAGAGACGAGATTTCGAAAAAATAAAACTGATTATATATATGGACTAGAATTCTGCAGGGTAGGTTACGAAAAAATTTTCGTGTAATTGAATGAGAAGTTCAAAAATCGATTCTAAATAGTGCAAATTCTTGTTGGAGATCTCGAAATCGTAGTGAAATATAAGGTCGACTTCTGAAACATGAACAGATCTCGAGAAAATCAGTTTTTGACGCTTTTGTAATATATATTGACTTGTTCAGTTTTGGATCATCGGCTCTCATTAGAAAAAAGAATGATAGATGATATTAGACGAAATTTCAAAAATTTTCTTATCTCTCAAAGACTTTTAATTTAATTAAAATTTTTACTTTATTTTGATTTTGATTATTATCTATTTGAAGTGCTGAATAATAAATATCTACCAATGATCGATCATCTTTTTCTCCAATATCATTATTATTATCATGTTGTTTTTCATTTATTTTATTTTCATCATCATTTATTGGATTATTTCTTTTAGCAATATTAACTTTTGTAATTTGTTTATTTGCTATTTTAATAATATGATCAGATAATTTATAATCATATTTTTTTCTTCGTAATAAATGTTTAAGTAAAGGAGGATATTTATTTAATGATTCAATATAATTTTGATTTAAATGTAAAATATTTTTATTATGACCAGTTATTGAATCAATATGAGATTGACCAAAACGACATAATATACCATATGAACATTTACCATAAACATCAAACATATAACAATATGAATCAAGATCAATAGGTCGTCGTGATAGATAAGAAGTTAAATCATGAGAATGTTTACAATTTGATTGATATGGACAATTTTCAAGACCACCACGTACAACAAAAAAACATAATTGATGATCATTATTATTTGATGATGAAGATCGAGCATTGATTTCTAAATGTTTACGATTTTGACCCTAGAAAAAAAAAAAAACAAAAGATAAATTTTCATATTTAAATTTTAACTTACTTTAAATTTCTTTTTTTTTGGTTCAATAGAATCATTTGTTTCATTATTATTTGTTTCGATAATTAATTTTTTATCTTTTTCATTTAAATGTTCGATACTTAATCTAACTTCATGATCAAAATCAATAAACCTTTTATTTTTTTTTTTAAAAATAAATTTTCATTGTTTTATATTTGAATTTTTCTATCTAAACACATACTCAAGTTTTATTTGTGCCATTCCTGGTTGAATTTTCCATGTTTCATATTTATTTAATTGTTCCTCAGTCAATTTTGAACGTTCATTTATAGGATGAGTTATTCGTTGAAATAGAATAGAAGATTGAATTTCTTCATTGGAACTCATCATTATTTTATCTAAAAGACATTCATTTTTCTTTTTCGATTTTTGTCACGAACAAAAAAAAGAGATATTCTTTATTGAATAGTTTTTCTAACAAACGTAACTTTCAAGACAACAACAACCAAGAAAAAAAAAAAAAAACTTTAGATCATTATTTCGATTTAAAATAAAGCGTATAATCCGATGATGTTGCAATTGTTATATATCCATTTTGTTCAGATGTTGATTCCTCATTAAGCAATTGAATATTATCAATATTGGCAAGTGGATCAATCAGATCAACGAATGCCGTAAAAAGTAATGATGTTGATGGTGAAGCTCGAATATAAACTAGAAAAAAAAACAACAATAAACAAGAGCAATTAAATTTTTTTTTTAGATCAATGTTAAGATTATATTTAAGATCCAAAAGTTTAGTTTTTAAATCTTTCTAAGTTCGTAGCAGAGATATTCATCAAGACAGGAACTTTACAAATTGTAATGGATATATCTAATTCATAGAGAATTAATATAGTCTATAGGAAACTTACGATTATCTTTTTCTTTTGAAAGAATCTTTTGTGCTGAACGATATGAACGAATTTTATTAATTGCACCATAAATAGTGACAACATTTGCTTCAAGTTCTTCATTACGATATTGCTTAAACTATAACAAAAAAAAAATAATTCTAATAGTAAAACAATCCAAAATAATAATAAAAAAGTAAATCTTTACTTGACTCGATTGTGGATATGGTGTAACACAAAGACTAGGTGGTGCATTTCGTCCTTTATTTGGTTTTGGTAAACGTTGATAAAGTTCTTCGGAAACAAATGGCATAATAGGTGCAATTAATCTTAAACCATTATCTAAACATGTATGTAATATTAATTTAATAGTTTCTTGTCGTTTTAAATCAGGATCTTTTGCATATAAATCTTTTTTAATATATTCAATATAAATGTCACATAATTCATAAAGCCAAAAATTATAAATAGTTGTTGTAACTTGAGGAAATAAATAATTATTAAAACCAATTTCACACTGTTCAATAGCATAACTTAATCGACTTAAAATCCATAAATCACATGGTTTTTCAGTACCTGTAAGCTATTTAAAAAAAAGAAAAATGTTAAATTTTTAATTTAATTTTTTTTTTTTTCTATTACTTTAAATTCTGCTGGTGGTTCAAAACAATTTGGATCATTAATATCTAAATTTTTTGACATTGCAAATCGAATAGCATTCCAAAGTTTATTACAAAAACGTCGATAACCTTCAACACGTAAGACATCTAAATTAATATCTCGACCTAGACAAAAAAAGAAATAAACATATTGAAAACAAAAAAAAAAAAGACCGAAAGAATTCAAATTACCTTGATTAGCATAAGCACAAAAAGCAAAACGTAATGCATCAGTACCACAATCTGGAATACCATTTGGATAATCATCTTGTTGACCTTGTCGTGCACGTTCATATTCTTTTGGATCAAGATTAGATGTTTTTAATTGTTCTTGAAGTTTTTCAAGTGATATACCATTAATAACATCAAGTGGATCAATAACATTACCTAATGTTTTTGACATTTTACGTCCATGTGCATCACGAATAATAGCATGTAAATAAATTTCAGTAAATGGTAAACGATCAGTTAATTCTAATGACATCATAACCATACGTGCAACCCAAAAGAAAAGTATATCATGACCAGTTTCAAGTAATGTTGTTGGAAAAAATCGTTTTAAATCATCAGTTTCCATTGGCCAACCAAATGATGAAAATGGAAAAAGACCCGATGAAAACCATGTATCAAGAACATCGTCATCTATTGTACAAAAAAAAAACAAATAAAAATTAAAGTTTTTAAATTGAAACATAATTATAATCTTTCATTTCAGCCGGGACAATTTTTTTTTTGTCGGAGGTTCAGTTCAATTCTCTTTTCCGTGATCTCGATAATCTTCTAAATTTTAATCCCGTACATCTCTAGTTTGGCTTATGATGGAAAGGCTATGCTACTAAAATTTCCAGGTTCATACCGTTATGTTTTCGAAAGATATTTAATAAATAAGAGTTAAAAATAGCTCGTTTAGCAATCGAAAATTCTCTTGTCTTAAAAACCTTACTTTTGTATGTGGAAAATAACAAGTTCAATATCTCAAAAAACGATTATCTATTTATAGAAATATGTTTTCTTTATATAATAATAAAAAAACGAGGCAATGCAGCTGGCATTCACGATCAGAAAAGCATAAACAGAGAAATTTAAAAAAGGATATGTTTTTCAAGTAGAAAACCGACGAAACTCACTGTAAATTTATGATAAAAAAAAACCGTCGCGTCAAATAAAATGTATCTTAGTCTATTAGTTTATCATTCATTTGCAGTTTTGTTTTATGCTTCCAGGTAAATATAACTGACTCAATTGAATATAAAGAACTTGTATATTTTCTTAAATTTTTTTTTTTTGTTAGATTAGTCTTTGTTCAAGAATGAACTGCCTTGAAGTGATCTGATCCAGACCAAATCTATTTTGTTTGGCTAGATCATCGAATTCTACGATCTTGAACTCGAATAATAGACATTACTAATTCCAATAATTCTGACGAAACAGGGAATTTTTTTTTAAAAAGAACTCCTTAAAATTTCCTTTTTTAATAAAATTACCTTGTTCTAATCGAATTTTTTCTTTTGAAACATTAAATTTTTTAGCTGCTTTTTCAAGTGCTTCATCATATGAATGAGCACTAACCCAATATTGATCATCAGTTTCATCTCCTGGTGGTATATCATTTGATTTAATAAAATACGCTGGTATACGATGACCCCACCATAATTGTCGTGATATACACCAATCACGTATATCTTCTAACCATCTATACCAAACAGGTTCAAACATAGATGGTAAAATTTTTAATTCTTTTGATCGTACAGCATCAATTGAACGTTGTGCCATTGTTTTACAATTAACATACCATTGTGGTTTAAGTAATGGTTCAATAATATCTTTACTTCGACTACATATTGGTAAAATCATTTCATTTTCTTTCGAATCACGATAAAGACCACGTTCTTTTAAATCATTTAAGAGTTGACGTCGAACTTCAAAACGTGGTTTACCAGCATATGGACCACATTCAGATGACATTAATCCATCATCATTAATACATGTTATAAATGGTAATGATAGACGACGTCCACATTCAAAATCATTTGGATCATGTGCTGGTGTTACTTTAACTGCACCAGAACCAAATGCTGGATCAACCATTGTATCAGTTAAAATTGGTAAACGACGTGGAAGAATTGGATGTTGAACATATTTACCATGTAAATGTTTGTAACGTTCATCATCAGGATGAACAACAACAGCTGTATCACCAAGCATTGTTTCAAGACGAGTTGTTGCAACAACAATTTCTTCGTCTACAAAAACAAAACAAAAAATAAGTTTTCAAATATATTATCAAAAAAAATACTTGAATTTTCAATTGGATAAGCAAAATAAATTAAAACACCACATTCAACTGGTTCCTTATAACCAGGTACATTAATTAATGTTCGACCTTTTAATTCCGTTTTTTCAACCTGAACAAAAAAAAAATAAGTATTTATTGAGAAAATTTTTTCTAAGAAAATAAATTTAATATTATCTTACTTCAATATCAGATATAGCCGATTTAAGTCTACATGACCAATTAACTAATCGTGTTGAACGATAAACTAATTTTTTTTCATGCATACGAATAAATGCTTCTTCAACAGCATACGACATATCTTTATCCATAGTAAATACTTTACGTGACCAATCACATGATGAACCTAATGCTTTTATTTGTTCATAAATATGATCACCTATTAATAGAAAACAAAAATTCATTAAAATCAATAGATTATACAAAATTTATACTAGCAGTGGCGACAAGAGGGGCTAAATTTTCCTTCAGACCTTTAGCAACAACTTTTAAAATTTTCCCTGAAGTTCATTCTCCTATTCACTCTTGGAGGAACTATAAACCGAACGTAATACAAGACTCAGTCCCTGAATTAATTGGTTTCTCACAAAATAGGAACATTGATTAATATATTTACATTAAAAAATATGTATAATTTTCAGGATTTTAAGCTAAAAATAGACTACAAAGACTGAAGTAGAGATGTTCATTGTGGCTGAGAACCTGTCGCTGCCGTACCATCATGGACATCTCTGGACTCAAGTCAATATTGATTAGACCAGATCTCTACATGAGCCAAGGATTGAATACTTCGTACACTATTTGGTACTTTTCGTACTAAGTACGTTAAAATAGTAAGTACCAATACATTTTTTACAGTACCACTACATGTACTTTTTAGTTAACAAATGTACTTAATAAAAAGTAAAGATGAAAAGCTTTTATCCACTCTACGATATTTTGATGTATATTG